TGCACTTAATACACGCAATAGCAAATATTGTCCAGAAAAATAATATACTATCACTCATAGATCTGTACTCCCGATCTAAAAAAGAAAAAATAAAACCTACAGGTTGCACACCACTGCCTATAAGTATTGTGAGTTCCCCCCAACTTTGTCGTTATTTTACTAATCGTTTTCGAGAAGGTACCACTAATATAAAACTACCTGCTTATTTGAAATAAATCGGGCACTATAACCGCAATTCTGTGTAATTTGTTGAGGAATGGCTTCTGTGCTCATACATACTTCCTATATTTTATCCTCACATTTATTGTTAGTTTCAATTCCCAACACTACTAGTACTGTAATCTCATTCTATGCTTACTCGTTAACCTTGCAAGTGACACGATAATGGAAAAGGAGTTCACTAACCCCCCAAACCACAGACGAAGTACAAAATAGACTTTGCACCTAATGTATTTTGTGTCCATAGTTCCGAAATACCGATCGTGTAAAAAATCAGTTTTTATTAAGCCCTCTACGATATAAAGCGGTGAGTTTAGGAATTACATACAATCCAACCTGATGGTACCATCTTTGATGAGATGGTAAAGTCGGCAGATGTAAAAAATCCTCTTTTATTAAATTTGCATATAAAGATACATACATATATTGGATTGCTTGGGTAGAACTGTTCACGATCTTTTGTGATATAGGGTAAACCACTCTTCTTGTGGAACTTTTTGTCACACGATCTGTAATACCGACGTCGTCCAAAACTAATAAGTTTTGAAGCGCACTCTACGTTTAAGAACGGTCATCTTAAGAACTGCATCGCGTAAAACAATCGACATTGATCGTGTGTACATTGTTACTGTGTTGTCAATACAACCTTGGATCCCAAAACGCAAATGTGTCACTAAATCCATTCTGATTCATCCTAAGATTCGAAATTTTGCCTCCTTCATTATTTAAAATAACAAATACCAAGTGTTCGTGATTTCAATTCCTACCATTAATAGCACAGTATAATAATAGATATTAACACCAGTCCCAATCAATACAGTAGGATGATGGTAATGGGGTTCTGGGACCCCGTGGACGTGTGACAAAAAAATACATTGGTTGAGTGGTCTGCTCTATATTTCGTTTGTGGTATGACCGCTTATTTCCCACTCGTTTAGTCAGGCGAAAACATTAGAAACCTCAAGTTTACTTTGCCAGTCGGTACTGCGATACTCCACACCCAAGTGGTAAAGCATATAGGTGTTCGAGACGCTTTACTAAAAAAAAACACATTAAACATTCACAAACAAATTCATACCAAACCGACAAAATACAAGCAATAACAAGTAATATTACATTAAGTACCTGCTGTTAATACAGCTTCCCGCGCTTCGTTTTAGAGAAGGTCGGGTTGGATGTTGAAATCTGGTTGTCGAAATCAATAAAGTCGAATATCGCGAACTGGTTGCGATGTCTAGTAATCTTTATAGGTTGAATATCGCGGATAGTACCGCACTGAGTGATCGATTTTGTCTTATACTTTTTCTTTCTTTTTTTTCTTTTGTTACCGATTCAACCTGAAAATTGTGCAGAGCCAGCTGAAGTAAATCCTCCTTATACTCTGAAAAAATTTAAGGGACGTTAGATATTTTGATAATAAATATTTGGTGTGAAAGCCATGCATGGGCATAAATTCGTGCAGGAAAATTTTCAAAAAACCTGCAAAGCTTATATCTTATACTTCTTCTTTTGGCGATTCTAATCCTTTTATGCATATTAGGACTAGTTCCTCCGAAGGATACGCATGCCGATTGGTTCCTTGTTACATATTAAGTCGACCAATCAACATACTTCAATGCCCGTGACCACCCTCTCCTTGCACCCTTAGCACGTTGCCTTGGGGAGGGGGTGGTGGTTCCTTAACGAAGGTGGCGAACGTTTGACCACAGCACAAAATTTCCCCCAGGCTGCAACCGCGTTGATCCAGTGACCGTTACATAGATCCTGAGTCACCCTTGGGAAAAGGATCATTTTATGATACGATTTAGCTATTGAGGATGAGAGAGAATTACCTCTTAATTTTTCTCTCGCCAGGATGCATATTAATCCTTGTTTTCGCCCGCGTCCGCGACGAGACTCGCGTTGTCGGACCCTGGTCTCGTGGAAGTCGTAAATTTCCACGTGGTTATTACCACGCCGCGGGTTAGGCGTTTCTTGACGAATTGTTTGATAGGCCAGGATAATTTTGATGGACTGAGTTAACCTTTAAATTACCTATACAGGGTGTCCCGTAACTCCTCGAACACCCGGAAATGGGGGGTTGCTGGGGTGACACTGAACAACTTTTTCCTTTACCAAAATGTTGTTTGAAGCTTCATTTTTGAATTATTAACGAAAAACACTGGCCAATCAGAGCGCGCGTAGAGCCCGCGCTCAGGGACGGGCGAACAGAGGCTCCCCCGCGCGCGATCGAACAAATGCGTACGCCTGACTTCTCGATTATCGATCGCTGTCAAAAAAATTTGACTTTGCACCGCTATTTTTATAAGGCTTAGAGAAATAGTTTTTTGCCGTCATTCCGACGTTTATATAAATTTTTGAAAACACTGCAATTAGTCGAAATCGCGAAGAAAATAGCGAAGGTCGTTTTTACAACTTTTTTATCTGAGCTCGTAATGAAAATCTGAAAAATACGTTTTGTAGATCTATGTCAATTATACACGGGCTGAAAATTTCAGCGCCCGACGAGGATCACCGCGGAGGTTTTAGTGGGTAAGAATCCCACACTACCCCGCCTCCCTCCCCTGCGGGTGGCGGGGTGTCTGGAAGATTTCCCCCGCGTTAACAAAAAAAAAACGACTCAGGGGCAAGAGGAGTACGTAGTTCATACGCGCCGCCTAAATCTCAAGTCACGCAATTTTAAATGATTCGATTCGTCGATATTATCGCGTCGTCCAATAATGCCAATACATGTGCCCTATTTCTATGATTGTGTTAGAGAAGATGGGCTTATGGAGATATTACCCAATTAGACCTGCATTCCTTTTATCTCTGCACAGTACATGTGTTTTGAAGTATGAAATATTATAGAAAGAATAACAATTTAAGTATTTTATCACTATCTTGAAAAATAAGTAAAGAAAAAAAATCACACCTCATACAGTAGCAATATCATTAAGAATATTTATACCAAATTTCATTGAAATCGATTGAATGGTTTCTTAATTTACTATTGATAGCATTTTGAAAAATTTGGTTTCGAAAATATGCGTTTAAAGTTTTACCTGTATCATTATTCTCCAATAACTTTAGTCGTTTTCCTTTTATCTATATATCAACTTGGTTCATTTTAGTTTATGTTGCGCCGCAAACGCGACCGTTAAAAGTTTGACTTTATCAGATGGACGACCAGGCTTGCTATTTTTGACGGCTTCTAATTTAAATTCTTTCGTGTTTACTTTTCTTTTCGAAGCAACGTCAAGGGCCAGAAGAGTCATCCGTCTCCCTGGTACTCGTAATTTCCTTCAATGAAAATTGACGTGCCGTAAAGCCACTACACACACACACACACACACACATACACACATATTTCAGTCCCATTAGGACTCACCTTCCCTTGGGCCTCACACCTCCGCCATGATACCATACCCCCTGTCGACTGGGGAAATCCAAGGTGAGACGCGTACTCGCTACTCATAGAGGACAACTCAAGACTAAGAAGGGCTCCTATTCCTCATCATAGGCCACACCCTCACCACTCATTTTAGTATAAGTAGCGAGGAAATTCCAACACACCTCAATGTCCACAAATATTTCAAACAGATTAAAATAGTAGTTCACATTTGTATTTTCTATACTAAGAAATAATTTAACTCACACGAAATTAAGTTGGCGTGTGAGAGACGCGGAACACTGTGTTCGACGAAAATAAGATTCGCGTCACAGCAATTTAGATTATGTTACTTTTCTAGATGTTGAAGCATCTTGTTTTGTAACATTGGATTGCCTTTTAATAATACTAGTTACTGTGGTAGGTTTTGTGTACTCTGGATTCTGTCGTAGTAACCTGAGAGATACCTACATATTTACTTCTTTGGCCATAGAGTATACTTTAGTACTCATTGTTAGAGTTAAATTCAGCGCATCTATTATTACGAATACCGATTTATAGTTTTTGTTGGAAAAGCAATTTCAATTTCAGCAATGATTTCGAAACTATGTATATAAGAACATTATAATTTTTCTGACTATTTTACGTAAATCCTCATAAATATTGTTCCAGAAGTTTATCTCAGCTTAAATCTTAATAAAGTGTCCGTATAGCTTCTTAAATGTGCATATGTAAAAATAGTTTCTACTAACATTATAAAAGCTTCGAAGAGGGTACAAAGTTAATGAGAATGTATGTACGTCCAAAACTTTCGTCTGACGCATTTACAATTGTCATGTAAATTTTTAGTTTAAGGATTACATCTGTGTCATTACAAAGAATTTTTTAATGGGCCCTTGTGTACATTATTTTTGGAGATTTAAACTATCATTTCAGAGGAAAACCTTTTCATCGATTCTTTTTTAAGGTATACTGTCTCTACTACCTAAATAAGTTTTGAGAACTATTTACTATACTCTCTATAAGGATATTGAAAAAAAATATATGGTTCCATTTAAAAAAATAACGATGACCTTGGAATCTCGAAAAAAATGGCCTTGAGCAAAAACCGTTTGCATGATTACATATATGTACCCCCTGAAATAGTGTAACTTTGTCCTAAGAAGTTTTTTCATACAGCAAGAAATAAGGCAGATACTTAGGTGGTCCCATTTAGCTGAGCCACCCTGTATATAATACATACATATATAAAAAAAAATAGAAAAAGCGTGTTCACAGTTGGAAAGCAAATAATCCAACTGGATGGAAAACGTAAATAAAGAAAACACCCAAATATTTTATTGAGAAAAGTACTATATTATCAGATATTTTAGAATCATAACAAATTCTTTGGTAATACTACCGACAATTATTAATCTTTGCTTTTACCTAGGCGACAACAGTATTGTGAGTTCGGTTCAACTACTGTTCGACGGATGATGTGGAGATCTCCAACGTTCGTGAATGTATAGTAATTTCCACTTTTCAGTTCTAGTAATTCATCTTCGTCATTAATATTCAAGAATAATAAATTTGTATTGTTTTCAGTTAAAACTCGATTAGGTAGAATATCGGCATATTTATTTCTTATAAGTTCAAGTTCCTGCATCTCTTTCTGAGCGTCCTGTGAACGAAAATAATTACCATATACTTACATATATACAGAGTCAACAACGTAAGTTGATCACCTTAACTATTTCCGTGACTAGTACAACAATACAAATTTTTTTCTTGAATACCTTTGTTTAAAGAGGCCTGCAGGCTAATTGCAGTAGATCATTTTGTAGGTCATTTTTTACAAAATTATCAAGATTACCTTTACTTATTTTAAATGGAATCCCATAATTTTTTTCATCTATCCTTTAGTGGATAAAAAAAATCCAAGTATCGCTATATGTATACTGGTTTTTTCATTAGAACCGAAGAAAAGATAGCTGTAAGGTATTGAAAATACTAAATTTCGATATACATACCACTATTCTTTGCAATTTCTTGGGAATTGATGTGAGCGCATTCAGTGCTGTTCTACAAATTTTGACTTTTGAACGATTTCGGTTCTGTCGATTTAAACATCCCGTTTAGCGACATGTTTTGAGTATACGTTGAAAAATATGACGCGATGGATAACGTTTATTCGAAAATCGTTTAACATATAACTGCTGTGCAACCCAGCATTACGTTTGTTCTTCCCGTAAATTAAGAACATTAAAATTTTTTTCTCATTATTTTAATAATGCATGATTATAATTACCCTTTGGAAAGATCGCAAATGTACCGACTTATTGACTGGCAAACCAAAGGTGAAGTCTCAAACGTGACTTAGGGCCTAAACCCTGCCCAATGTTAGAGTAACCTCACTCTCGGACCGATTTTCGTCCGTTCTGCGCAGTTCCCACTATGTACTGACTACCGATGTGACACATGCAATTGGTCGTTGCGCCATTTCGGCTGGGCCCAAAACCGACGACAATGTAAACAGCGCATAAAGTGGAGAGTATCTCCCCGGTGGTCTAAAAGTATGCATACCTACTGTGCGCGTTTTAGCGCAGCGGTTTACAACACAGACGAATAGTGACTAGTTGTATGAATTTAGGGAACGATTTAAATTGTATAAATATAGGGAAAATCATTTAAATAACTCTGTATTCATTCATAAATTTTGTATAGGTTTCTGTTACACAAAATGTTTGAGCAGTTATTAGGTTTAGTTTCATTATTAGTTGATTCTCGGTGTCCTTACAAGCACGCACGTTTTTCACGAGGCCGCGGTTATACCACGCTACTCATGCACACACTGCGTCTCTCGCGTACCCACGCTACGCACGATAGAAGACGCGCTCGCGTGACCGTACGGCGTTGTGTCGATCTCGCCGTTTCCGTCTTACAGCAGTTAGTTGGTAAATATAGATTAAATGTTAAGAAACTTTCATATTTAGGGTAAAATATTGAAACTGAAAATATCTCTTCAATGAATAATTTTTTTGCGTTAAAAATGATTTCATTAAAACTTTCGAAAGCACTTGCACCTATTTATATGCTCGCCACTGTTCGCACTAATTCAAAGATGAAACTTTTTTATTTTTGATCTTTTTGTAATTAAACTGGTAGTAACGTATTTATGAAATCATTCTGATTAAAATGATACCAAACACCATATAATTTGGATTATGTTTACTTATTACTTATTATCATTTATTAAGTAAGCAAATATTCTCCAAATTATATCGTGTTTGATATCATTTTAATCAGAAAAATGTAACAAATATGTTGGTAAAAATTTCATTTGTTACAAATCAAAAATAAGAAAGTTTGATTTTTGAGTTAAAGGTCTCAGCTTATTCGTTTGTCCTCAACTATTTTAATACAGAGAACGTTCCAGAAAAAATATTAAAGATTTTCAGAGATAAAATTACGCATTGCAGCTACAAACTTACTGAAAGGTGGGCGGGGAGCAATCCGACAAAAGGACGATTTTTAACGCATAGAGTGTCGCATGATTAGAAAAAGAACCAAAATTTTAAGAATTACAAAATGGTATGGAATAAAATCAGGATAGACCTTCAAATTCTTTATGTGGTCGTAAGAAACATTCTTTTAACGATAGCAGTAATAATATCAAAAAGAGAACAATAGAAAAGTAAATAGAGAATTAATTATATCACCGTGTATATGAAAGCATCACGCTTGGAACAGTGGCTCCAATGAAAAATAGCGTGCCACCACAGATTGACAGCCACTTTTTACATCCAATAAAAACCATCAAGCAGCCACTATTTAATCTTAAAGTTTTGAAAAATTTAACAAAAGCAGACGACATGTCATCACTTTAACTGTAATATTTCGGCTTTGTTTAAAGATAATATTTCGACCTTGGGCTCATTTCATATAAAGTTTCAATTGCTAATTTGACACTGTTCCTACTCATGGAATAATTTTGAAAAAATACCATTGGATTGCTTGAATTGTAACCTGTAAAATAAGCTTATCGAAATAATAGACACATTTTGGGAACATGAGATAAAAAAGTAAAGTTTACCAAGATGCACGTCGTTTGGTGTCGCGCAGGCATCTGTTCGCCTGTTTATGGTGTCTGCGTGACGTAAACATAATTTTTTTTCGAGCGCTTGAAACTATCATTCCGGTCAATTATCAACTGCTCATTTGTTCATCGACTGCTCGAACGATACCCGATCGTCATCTATTGTTCATAGAAGAGTAAGTGCGATAGCCTTATTCTGCAGTGATTTGCTGACTATAAGGGAAGGCCTAAGAGTAACTGCGATAGCCCTATTCTATCCCTATTGGCTTACTAACAGCGAGCCATCGCAAGTTCCTCTACATCTCTCACTTTCAGGCCCTGTGTGACGTCAGAGTCTTCACTTTAGGTTTGTCGGACAGTATGTCTTCGAAAGACATTAGTGGAACATTTCAATGTTTATGAACGTTATAGGAGAGGTCAGACAAATTTGATTGCATACAACGCCGTATTTGTGTATGGCAGTACAAGATTTTTCTAAAATACATTGTTTCCCCCATTTCTCCTAGACTAATGACGAAAAAGTTTAATACTGTGTTTGCCGTATTTGTTTTTTGGTCCACTAAAAGTGAACTTGAATATTAGAAAAAAAAGTGACCTACAAAATCTATACTGCAATCAACCCTGCAGGCCCCTCTAAACTAAGGTATTACAAAAAAAAAAGAAATTGTATTGGTCCAGTATTAACGGAAATAATCAAGGCGATAAAATTACATTGTCCACCTTGTATGTATAACAAAAGTTAATTTTTTTAAATGGAACCCTGTATTTTTTTATTCACAATATGGTAGCGTTTGTTGAGAGGAATTTAACGATGTTCCACACGAAGTCATTTTGTTTTATGAAAAATCGTAAAGTACTAAAGAATCGGGAGTCAGGTCAACATGTGTTACATGCTTTCGACCAGCTAGGAGCTCAGGAGTTTGCCTTCGAGACGGCAAGAGGGGTACTTCACTTGCACCGCCTAATTCTTCTGTCATGCGATGTCATATGATCCGATTCGTCGATGTTATCGTTGATCCGTCCATGTAACGGAAATTCAAGGCCATTATGCCTTGGCGTCTCTTTAGATAGCCAAAGCCTTTCATGTTTTTTAATTAACAAAAATTTTTCTTTCCAATAGTATTGTCGGTAATGTTTCCTTAACACTCAGCGACACAATAAGCTATTAGCGACACAAACGGTCAGCACTTAATTAGAATAGTCCCGTTCTGTGATCGTTAATGCCTTTCCGTAAACTCTTATATTAATTTTCTTCGCAATCGGGCATCGCGCACCCTAATTGCAGCCTACCTGCCTCCCTTTCCATAATTTTTCAAAAGTTGATTTATAAATAAACTAACCAATTATCAAGTCTCACAGTTTTTCTTCCACCAAATTCTTTAAACCAATCACATCCCTGCCTTGGCTTTCTGAAAAATAAAAATATTGCAATTGAATAGTGAAGAATACAATTTCAAATTTCCCAAATCAGTCCAAACGGGTCTAAGAGGAGTCTAAAACGAATTTACGACAATTCGAGTTAACGAACAACTCAGCTAAACATTCAACCGACTTCCATCTGGTCCACAGTCATCAACGATTCAAGCAATAATTGTGAACACGTTTATAATAAAATCAGTTGCTTCTCATTAAGTTGACGAGCAGCGTTCGTATCAATACATCGTTGCATTCATTATTTTAACTGGTGTAACGGTCGAACAATTGCGTTCGGCCAATAATGACAATACATGTATCCAATTTCTATGATTGTGTTAGAGAAGATGGGCTAATGAAGACATAACCCAATCAGACCCACACTCCTCCCACTCGTCTTCTTTCCAGCTCTGTGCCTTTATTACAAATTCTCCACGATTTTATAACTTTCCATAACACGAAAAGACTTCGTGTGGCACATCGTTGAATTTGTCTCAACAAACGATACCATATTGTGAATAAAAAAATACAGGGTCCCAGTCAAAAAAATTAATTTGATTTTGATATCTCCTCCACTATTTCACCCATACAAAAATTATTTATACCACATAATGTTCCCCTTTATACCACACAACTGATGTACGAGCATTTCTTTGATAGCTTCAATCCGTCCGTTTCTACAACTTAAAAATAATAAAAAAATATTTTTTCTAACATGCTTTGTTGCAAATACGGTCGAAATTTTTTTTTCAGTTTTAATCTGTGGTTTCCGTTTTGAAATATAGGCAGTTGCAATTTCAGGATATCATCTAATGTATATTGAAATAAGCACTAAAAATATACATTAACGCGGAACAGTGCCAGATTTAAAAAGTGCAAGTGACCAACACAATGCTTTTAACTTGAGATGCCACTCCCTTATTATTTTATGTAAGGGTAGTTTGAAAAATAGTTTTATTTTATTAGGGAAATGAAAAATTTTCAGATGCATTCAGATTAGATCAACCAAAAGTCTTAAAAATTTAATATTTAAAAAATTGTATAAACAATCTTAGTTATATGTAGATAATTAAAAGGACATTTGCAATTCTAACTCAATAATTTAATTAAAATTAAAGAGTTGATTTGGTATCAATTGATTTGAAGAATAGATTTAAATACTCATTTATGAAATTTACCTAACAAACATTTTATAATATTAGTGTTAAAACTTATTAATTCTAAAACATTAAAGTAATTCGAAACTGATCAGTAATTGGGCTTGTTACACAAATTGCAATGTATTTTCATTATAAAACTGACTTATGTAAAAAAAGAATAAAACAATATTCTCATTAAAAACTCATTGATGCTCTGTATCTCATATTTTGAATCTACAAAATATTTATGTGGTACACAGTATCATTTTGAAACTTTACCGCTATTTTAGATTCGAAGCGTTTGTCCTCGTTAAGTTTCCACCATTTTGCGTAAGCAGTGTTGAATGCACTCTGTGCTTTTTCGTACTCTGGATAAACATCGGTGCTCAAGCTCTTATAGCCAAATGCGCCAGCCGTTTCAGTATTACCTTCCCTCCCATAAGAGCTGCCGCCAAGGAACCAGACAGTATACTCTCTCAAAATTGGAAACTGCTGTGTACGCATATACCAATATAATGAAAAGTAGAGAGCAAGTTCCTGATTAGGTCCACCATGTCCAGGGTCAGAGCAAAGATTTACAATTGGTCGGCCTCCTAATAGAAGACACAATCCTAAACCCCAATTATCTTTTGTGGGAAATATTTCCTGCACCTTTATATCAGTCAAAGGGCAGACAGGACTTTCTTTCATTTCTTCATACATGTCCAATTTATTAATTTTGTTTTCGACCGCCAGTATCATTAAAGATGCCATTTTAACATATTCTCGTGCAAATTCGTCGATTTTTCCAGAACAAGTGGAGTTCAGTTTTATGGGAAACAAACCAAGCTTAAAAACTTCTACAGACATACATTCCATAGCGTCTGCATTACAGGCTATTACGTCCTCATGGACAAATTTGTAATTCTTATTTTCGTCTAATTGTTTATCAGCAGCCATGACCCATGGAATAGTTTCTTCTACTAAATCTTTTACGCTTAATGGTATTCTATCGATCAGGTTATACTTCGCTAATATTGCTAAAGCTTTGTCATCTTTTGGATCATAAACGCATGGTCCACCTGACAGTTGAGATATTGGCCGAGCAGAAACGTCAGATGTGATTAAAGTCACGACTCTCGCTGGGTAAGCCATCCGTGCTAGATCGCCTCCTACATTGAAATTATAGAAGATGAGTCAATGAAAATTATCAATTTGAATATTTCCAAAACTATGTATGAGACAAATTTTTATCATGAACATTATTTGGTATAAAAGGAGGCATTTAAGTGGAGACCCTTACGACCTACGAAAATCATACTTTTATGAAAGATTGTCAAGAGAAAGTGAATAGTACTATGCTTCGACAAATGTTCCAAAAAATATCTTTCTTGCAACGGACAATGAATGACCTTGATTATCTTTGCGCTGTGTTCACTTTAAAAATTGTTATTAGTAAGTAAAAATGAGAATGTGGTATGCAGGGGATAGGAGGATAGTGCGTGATCTGGGTTACTTAGTAACCACACAGTAAGTTCTTTTTTAGTCTTTTATCTATTATTTATCTGGCTCACGAGGTTTACACTTTACTTATCGCTTACTGACTGTTTGCTTGATTGACTCTCAGTCACCTCGCGAGCTTCTTTCTCACCCTCTTCTTTTTCCTGATTAGTTACCGCCAACTTATTGGTTGTAACCAATCAGGAATTTTGTCTTTAACCCGCCGCTAGTCCTTTGCGCCCTTGACGCGCTTTTTCCAGGACTGCGGCGAATTATGGTGGGGGCGTATTGTCCGCTGTAGCGCATTTGGCAACGCCGCGGATTTTCCTCCAGGTCCGGTACTTGAGACATGTGGCCTGGGCCTCTGGGCCCGTACGCGAACCTTTCGGCAACCCTTGGTTTATGATCTGACAAATTGCTATTGAGACCGTTGCTGAAAGTTTCTACGAAAACATGCATTGTTAGATTTACTAAACATTAAACAGACTAAAACGGTTTTCTCAAAAATAGCTTTGATAGCGCGCACGTCATAAACCGTGATGGTCGTCCGCACGGCAAATGCTTGCTTCTGCACTACAGCTGGTGGCCACAACGTCTTTTTTATTCTTATTTATATATTTAAATTTGAAAATATTTAAGATGATAATTTTTCCAAAGATTATGAATGCTGGTAAGTATTTTTTTCTTGATTTATTCTGCTACCTGGCAACGTAAGGAATCTTTAGAGAAAATATCTTCAAAGATATCTGAAGTATATCGAATTGTATAACGATTACCTTTACTATAAATTTAAAAAACTGATTAAAACAGTATTCAAGATATTAAGATTCGAAGTGTAAACTCTTATTCAGTTTCTTGTTACTTATGGATAGTACTTATTTATATGTTATATTATTCAATATTAAAAAACTGTAATATATCGACTCCAACTCCATAAGAAAAAAACAATCACTTTCATCCAATTTCACTCTTTGCGGACGGAGCCGCTGCAACGATAGACACTACATATCAGCTCACTTTTCTTGTGTACTGATTAATAATTATTCAATAGATAACTGTGTCAATAGTGTAATTTTTGATTATATACAAGGTGTCATGTAACTGGTAGTATAAATGAGAAGGAGGAGATTCTACATGAAAAATTGAATCGACAATATAGAATAAAATTTTTTCACATTATGTTTGTACTAATAAACGGTACCAATGTCATGATTATTAAATTTACATTACTAAACGAATTGTTGAAAGTGACGTCTGTGTTAACGTATACAAATCCTTACTCTTTCACGCTGAGAGTCGTAGAGCGATGATACAGTATTTTGACACATTAAACCCTCGAACAGCTGACCGAAAACAGCGACGCGGCACGGCACGGCCAACACCGGGTCTCTTTTGACCCATAATGGAATTTCTACTATATGTATTTCAGAACTAATCTTTAGATAATAAATATCATCTTATAATGCAGTATAGAGAGGAAGAGAATAAAAAATGTAAATGTTTCATATATATACATATTATTTATTTATTTTATTTATGTACATTGTATACATACAATTTTCTAATTGTATGTTGTGAACATATGTATATGTCTTAGGCATGTTATACATTTTGAGCTGTATTTATTATCATTTCCTATGCATATGTAGCATTTCGAACGTTTTCGAAATTCAGTCCAAGATGATTTTCAAAGTCATTGGCTTGCTTCTCAATATTTTTAGAACACAGTGATTCCGCTAAAATTTCAAGACAAATTTTTCTATTTGATTTCATTGAATTATGATTTTTCCAGTCGGGATTTTTTATTGTCCATATAACTAATGCATGATATACCAATTTGCCCAATACATTCACAACACTTTTTGTTGAATTGTAGTAGGACATTATGTGTGGTTTGAAATTGTTTTCCGATCCAGAAATGGAATGTTCTCTATGTATCGCTGATAATAATACCACTTTCGCGCGGTTCCGGCACATGTGATACTAATGTGAGGTTTTTACTGAATAGGGACATTAAGGAATATTGCGATCTTTGATATGTTTGTATAAGTGACTTCGGCAAATATTTTCTGTTCTTTCTCATAGCACCTATGACATAAATTTTATCTTTCAATAACGTCTCAGCTAATCTAACGTTCGTGAAGAAATTGTCAGTTGTCATTGTACGAGAAGATTGCTTCCAAGAATTTGTAAGCTGTCGAACCACGCGTTGTCCCTGCTGCTTTCCGACAGTATTTCCAACTTTTCCTAAATAATATCAAAATTACCTTAAAAAATGTAAAAACAATCAAAATAAGTGTCAAAATCAAAATAAATGGTAACATCGAAGTAAATAACAAAAAAAGTTACAACAATAAAATGTTTGTATGTCGCAAAAAATCCATACTCTCTGTCCATAATTTCTAGGCTTATTGGGCAATACACTTTGAATGGGCAGCATCCTTTAAAACTCAAATCGAAGAAATCTGATAATGTCTCTGAATCTGTTTCTAGACATCACGGCTGTGTATAGCAATCGCGAGAAAGCTGTATTTTGACGCCATAAATATTCTTTATTCTCCCGTGATTCCTTAAAGCGACCGGCAATCAGTAACATACCGATGAAGGCACTTATGTATTTCAGTTCTAGTTACTGGCTTCCATGTTCTTCTAGATTCATTACTGCAATGTTCATTAGCTTTTTCATTTGTATACAGAACTACTATGTCAATAATTTCATTATTTATGAACAGATTGAAACAATCCTCTATTGTTTGAACTTTTTCACTTTTCACAGTCAAACTGCTATTTCGAAGAATACTGTGTGATATTGTGTTACTTTTGGGAGCGATATATTTCCACTTGCGGCCAGAAATAATTTCATCATTGTTGTGAACATCCTGATTGTCACTTTCCACTGCAGAAAATACATCATCCTCTGAGTCCTGTAATTTGGATTCATTGTCATTGAACGATTTATTGCCTCCGTCCGATGATACTTTGTCATTATAACTTCGTTCACTTTCCAATAATTCGTGTAATACAGACATTGTAGCTTCTTCGATCTTTTCTTCTCGCTGTTGTATTCAATACCGACTGCTAAAGATGTTGCAACTCTTCACACAGTCACTTGTTTATGTTACAGCGATAAAATTCAGCCGAGCGAGCGAATAGTGTTGCCGTCTTGACGCTATTCTTAAGACATGGGTCAAAAGTAACCCCGGCATTGGCTGGGCAAGGGTTGATTGTGTAAAAGCTTGTAGGATTCTTTCTTTTAGCTGTAAATTTACACTCTCTTCTGCATAAACTATTTCTTTGCGAAATCAGACATTATCACGTCGCATCGCAAGAAAACGCGACGAACACTCGGTCTGGCTAATTATCGTTATAAAATTGTTCAGTTACTTTGGACCGCCAGACCGAGGTACCGTACCCCCCGTGAAGATATCCACGGCCGTGGCGGAAAAATTGTTTTAGTACCCTGCAAGACCTACAAAAAACCCCAAAAGGTTAAAGTAGCTATTTTTTAATAATAATCCCCTTCCCTTGGAAGGACCGGCATCCCACCCAACTGACACTGACAAATCGGAACAAGCTTATTCACCCCACACACGTCAAAATCCACCAATCGACATCTGGCATAGTTGATAAAAGCGGGAACATCAAGCAACAGCGCATTCTTTGAAAATATAGTTAGATAGTCACCCGTAACTTAGTTCAAGTATCGTCATCTCTCTTCGTTCGCAAATAAATAGTTGTTTTAAGTGCGCACGGATGATCTTACGATCGTTCGGGTTTTGTTAATTTTACACGTGGTATGTCGCCTATGTATGCGCTCGAAGGACCAGTGTTGAGAAATACGACGAACTTTTATTTATACAATATTTACATGGCTGAACTTATCGAGTCAATCTCCCGACTGTCTACGTTACTTAAATTAGCTCTTCTTCGAGGTAGTGTCTTTGCAATGGTTCAAATAGTATCTGCTGGAGTGTGTTGATTTCTTCCCGACGAAGACTTCTCTTTTGGAACACCCTGATTGGGTTTTGAAAATTTTCCTAATCACCAATCTATTTTCCCTGGTGCATTAAGACCTCCTTCCATGTCGCCCTTAGCAAGCTATCTTAAAGGTGGAATGCACAATGACCGAAGAAAGTTTTCAGTGGACGGATGTGTGGGAATCCTGTGGAATCTCTGTGAGGCCTTGACTTTGGTACCTTCAAGTGGCTCACCGATGACGTGAAAAGTTCAGAGCCACTTTCGATTTCGTCCGTTGGAAATTCCAAGATTTATGGCAAGTATCGTCCTAGCGCATAGGGTTACCAGACAACGCAATAAACACTTTTGTTTATTCAAAACCGACCGCGTTACCTGCAACGCATGACCTCTTGCGTAGTGGCATAAATGCGGCTACAGGATACGTCTAATAAAAAGCAAAAGCTAATAGCAAATCTTTAAATTCAATTTTGTCGGAAACGATGCATTGTATGAAAAAATTTTATTTTAAATTTTCAATTTAGTTTTTCATGTAGAATCATCATCGTCGCGCTTGTACCACCAGTTACATAACATCCTGCATGTACAATATACATATGTATATACTGTCCGACAAACCTAAAGTGAAGTCTCTGATGTCGCAGCCTAGCAAAATGGAGGCAAAGTAGACGGTTCAGGTCATCCCCACTACTCTTGG